TCGGAAGGTGTAGCTCAGGTGTGCTATAGAGGACGGTTTAGGGTTTACAGTATAGGCTTCTAGGAAGAGTTAGGGTTTGCACTGCCTTCTTCCACCTCTAGCCAGCAGCCGCTAGGCCTCAGCTCTTGGGGTCTATGGTTAAGGGTTTGGGATATAGGGTTTAAGGTTGGGGCAGAAACACTCACCGCCCAGTGCACGCAAGCCCGTCGCGCCCCAAAGCCTATGTGCAGAGTTCTTCTAACCCTCAACGCTAAACCCTAAACCCCAAACCATCGAGTATCAACCATAAACCCTAAGCGTCTCAAGCGGGGTGCTGCCTGTTCCTGCACAGGATGCCGATTCGCCTACCCAAATGACTGCCGCCGCGCCGAACTCCCGAGCAGCAGCAGCAAATGAAGCAGCAGCAACAGCAGCAGCAAGAGGGCATATCCCCTCATATACTCTGCCTCCTGGTTATCCAATGCCACACACATGCGTTGCTCCCACCTGTGTGCTGCTGAAACAGCTCGAGGACGCGGAAGCTGCAAAGGCAAAAACAAAAAAGACCGCAGCGCTAGCAGCAGCTGCAGCTGCAGCAGCAGCAGCGCAGCAGCAGCAACAGCAACAGCAACAGCAGCAGCAGCAACAACAAGTGCAACAGAGAGATAACGAGCAGACCATCGGTGTCATTAGAAACGACAGAGTGGGAAGGGCAAGCAAAAGATGTTGTATTGGCCGTTGCATGCAGTTAGCCACTCATACGCCTGTTGCTGCTGCTGTGGCTACTGCAGTTGCTGCTGTTAGTACTACTGTTGCTGCTGTAACGGTTTGCTGCTGCTGCCACTGCTTCTTGTGCTGCTGTTGTTGCTGTTGTCTTTTATCTATCCTCTGTGAAAAAAGCAGCTCTGTTGTCTTTGGTTCAGTTAACTGGTGCTGCTGCAACGGACAGCAATGCTCAGCAGCAGCAGCAGCAGCAGACCACGCACTTACAGCCGTCGGAATTCATAGACTTAGTGCTGGGACACAGATCATTAGCGGATGAGTTCTGCTACATGAACAGGTTTGCTGCTGCTGCTGCTGATGTGGCTGCCGTTGCTGTTGCTGCTGCTGTGCTGCTGCTGTCTCTGGCGCTGTTACTGTTGCTGTTATTGCTGCTGCTGCTGCTGCTGCTGCATAGCGGTTGCTGCATTAGAGCAGTGTTAGAAGGCTTACACCATCCAATGAGGGTTTGACCTCTCAGCTAAGGGTGACTGATAGCATTTAGGGGGTTGCATTGTAGGCTTTAGCGTAGGGGGCACAATGGCGTGTTAGGATTTAGGGTTTTGTTTGTATGGACAGGCGAGGTCCTTACAGTTACGAGATTGTACCATTTGACGCCATAAACCCTCAAGATTATTTAACATTGTCAACGCATGCAGTATTGCATTATAATGCTGCAAAAGGAACAGATTGTTTATCTGTACATCAATGGAAAAAAGAACAAGAATTATATGCTTCTCTTATTCAAGTTCCTTTCTTCTCTAATTATCCTAAATGGAGGATGATCGCCCTCTGGAAAACCGCCATGAGGGAAATGCGATTCAGGTATATATCTACTAAACCCTCACACGTTACTCCTAATAAACCCTACTTATAAAACCTAAAAGCCTAGTCTCCATCAGTCCTAATAAACCCTTAACAACAAGTCGGGTCTATTCCTTATAAACCCTAATCAACAAACCCCTATACTGTAGGAGGTGAAACGGGACGCCGCGGAGGCCTCAGCTGCAAAATAGGGTTTGGAAACCCTCGAGAAGGGTTTAGGGTTTGTGGGTTGTATGATGTTGCAGGAATTGTGCCGAAGTTTTAGAGAAGAATTTATTTCCTCTTAATAAAATTCTTGGTCCTTCTTTATGTTCTGTTCGCTCCCTTGCAATGAAAGTTGCAACATGGGATGTATTAACAGCTCCAGGAGATTCTGTGGTGTCACTACAGCAGATAGAAGAACTACAAAAAAGCAAACAACAACAATTCGCAACAGGACTTCAAAGGCTCTGGGCAGCTGTCGTTTCAGAAGTAAACAACAAACATCCTACTACAGGAGGGTTCATGATCTAAGGTTCAGAGTTGAGGGTTTAGGGTTTAGAGTGCGATTTTAGGGTGTAGGGTTTCGGGTCTACGGTCTAGGGTTTAGAGTCCGGGTCTATGGTCTAGGGTCTGTGTCGTAGGGTTTAGGGTTTAGGGTCTGCAGTTGCGCATGCAGATTCAAAAGGCCTGCGCGAACTCTCTCCAAGACTTCCTGCAGTGCAGCGGGTTTGGACACAGCCAAAGGGGAGACGAAATGCAGCAGCCAGGCAAAACCCTAAACCCTAGAGGCAAAACCATAAACCCTATTTCATAAACCCTGAACCGCAAACCTAGACCCTATGGGTAAAACGCCATGGGTTCCCAGCTGGCAGCAATCTACTGGGAAGTTCAATTGCTTTGAGACGCTGTTGTTGAACAATTGTTTAGGGTTTAGGGTTTAGGGTTTACCGTGTGCTGTGCTCAGCTCGAGGTTTTGAGCGCCGTGGCCTTCACGGCATTAGTAGTCTTGCAAGCCGGAACACCCATAGAAGCAACCCTCAAGGGGGGCTTTCTGTCTCTTATACAGAGAAAGCAACAACTCGCATGCAATGTAGGCGACTTGTTCGCTTTATTAGAGTTTGTCAATACCTCTTCGAGGCCGCTCTAATGGACTTCGCCAGAAACGCTACCCAAAGACTCATCGATGGACTTGTCAGCCAAAAATTAGGGTTTACGGTTTAGGGTTTACAGTTTAGGCGTATGCTTTGGGTTGTACGATTTAAGGTTTGTTGTGTAGAGTTTAGGGTTTAGGGTCTGTGACTTAGGGATTAGGGTTTAGAGGACATGTTGAATTGATTGTTCCTCAGGCGTCGTTTGAAAAGATGGCAAAGGAAGGGGACGGCTCCCAGCAGCAACAACAGCAGCAGCAATCGCAGCAACAGCAGCAGCAGCAGCGGAAGCCTCAGCAGCAGCAGCAGCGTCGTTTGCAACAGAATGCAAGGAAGCTGGGGGATTCCAGAGGCCGCAGCGCTGGGGGAGCAGCAGCAACAGCAGCAGCAGCAGCAACAGCAGGTTCTGTTCTGTCTGGCACCAAACCCTTGCTGCTCGTACAGCTCGAGCTTAGCCGCTCCGGTGTATCGCTGTCTCCTCAAAAGTAAGGAAACAAGAGGAGAGACATTACAAGGGAAAGGAGACACCACAGGCACAACTTAGAGGCGACACAAAACTCCAAACCCTAAACCCTAAACCCTAAACCCTACAAGGATTTAGCTGCCGTGTTGCTGCAACTATTCTTAGGTCCGCCTTTGTCGAATTCTTTCGAGGCATTCTTTCTGAGACATTTTCTGTTCTTTCTTCTACTGCTTCGTTTATTACTGCTGATGAAATGGCGGCATTCACAAGTCCCTTAACAGGCTTCGGTAAACCCGAAGCCCTAAACCCTAAACCTTGTATCTAGTGAAACGGAGAGGGACCTTCTTCTCCTACAACAGCTGCCAATGTCTCACAAAGAAACACGGTGACTCAGGGTTTAGGGTCTAGGGTGTCGCTTGTACAACATGAATAGTAGGGTTTATGCACTAGAGTGTAAGGTTTAGGGTTTAGGGTTTAGGGTTTGTGTCAACAGACTCTATAGGAGAGGAAACAGCCTGCCGCTCCTTCCCATCCTTTTTACAGAGCGAAGAATCATCTTTGCCACAGTTAACACGCAAAACCCTCGAGCTTGTCGATTCTCTCTTTGATAGGGTCACTGCAGCTGCAGAGGGCTTTACTGTGAGCCAAACCCTAATCACTAAGCCCTAAACCCTAAAGCAATAAACCAGCAACAAGCGGTTGTACCTATTTAACACAGAAGAACACTCAACAACAGAATGAATCGGGCGGCATACGCAGCAAACAGAGATGCACATGCAGCTCAATACAACTTAGGGTTTTGGGTTAGGGTTTATGGTTTATGGGTTAAGGTTTCGGGAACATGTTGCTTGCAGAAATATGTTGAGGTTTATAACAATAGCGAAAGCCTCTCCACCGCCGCCCTGGAGAAGATGGAAGTGACTGACTTTGAGTGCGTCGACCGCCCAAACCCTAAACCCTAAACCCTAAGCCCTGCACCGTACAGCCTAGCTTCCGGCGCCCCATTCCCCAATCCTAAATGCTACACCTTAGTTATTAAGGGGCAGGGCCTGGGACATGACCCCTGACCCTTGAAGGGGAGCTCCTAGCCCTAAACACTAAAACCTAAACCCTAAACCCTTGTTGGCAGGGTTGTGCGGGTGTATATGCAGCCAAACCCTGAGCGCGTGGCAGCGAGATGCTGACGAAGTCTCTTCTTTATCTCCTCAATTGGGCCAGGGTTTGTTTTGTTTAGATATCTCTCGTTTGCAGAAAACCCTTTTGCCATCCCTTAAGAGATCAATGGGCTCGATTCAAAGCTACTTGCCACAGGCAGGGATCCACATACACCAATCCCTAAACCCTAATATACCCTAAACGCTAAACCCTAAATTCTCGTTCCCACGTGCGTCCGCAGTTCAACATCTCTCAAGAACATGTCACAAGACTGGTGCATTTGCTGAACGCCCTTGGGTTCAGGCTTTACGGTTTAGGGTTTAGTGTTTAGGGTTTTAAGGGTTTGCGCCGCAGCTGGCAAATAGCAGCATGACAAAACTGCTCCAGGAAATATCAACAACCAATGCAAAACTTTCAGTTGTTCCTCAAGATATAAACTCCGTAAGCCCCAAGAACTACGGTATCATGTTTAGGGTTTAGGGTTTAAGGTTTACGGTATGTTTGTTGCATCTGCTGGCTGCAAAAGGAGTTGCCGCAGGGCTTCTAGCAAGCTTCTGGTTTGGGCTGCTGGTCGTCTGTTCTTAGAGAACGCATCCCGAATTTAGATTTTAGGAGTTAGGAGTTGGGGTTTAGGGTTTAGGCTGTGTTTGCAGTACGTGGACTTCAACTGTTTCTTAGCGGAGACGCAGAAGGAAACCCTACCTGCAATCGAAGCAAATGCTCTTCGGGTGTCTGGACTCCTGGATATTTTAAAGAGGGTTTCATTAAGAATCGATGCAACCACCAAAACCCTTTTTGCCGAACTCTCTCAGGGACTTGCGGGCCTCCGGTAAGCCCCAAACCATAAACCCTACTATCTAAGTCTGAAACCCAAATCCCTCAAACCACATCAGCAAACCCTCGGCCCAGGACCCAAAAGCCTAGACCCTAGAATTCCAAAGCCCTAATCCCCAAACGTTAAGCCATAGCCTCTAAAACATACGCCCTAAATCCGAATCTTTGGCACTTTTCGCAGGAGGCATCTGCAGCTTGCAGCTTATTCTGTAGACCCCAGAACCCCTAACCCTAAACCCTAATTTGTGGCTCTTTTCTCAGAACGCAACTGCAGTTTGCAGCTTATTCTGTAGAAGGAAGTATAAAGCGTTTCCAAGAGGAATTGGAGGCTTGTACTCCTCTCATAAGAGATAAGCTTGCAGTGCTGCAACAGGATCTACGCGATCCTAAACTATATGAAGCAGAAACTACCTTAAGCCAAGTAGAGCCTATTCTCCACAGTCTCGATAAACAACTGCAAGATTTAAAGACAGAAGTGGAAAAATGCAAGAGGTTAGCTCATCTAATTACCAAAAGAGCCCCCCTTTGTCCTAAACGCTTCGTCAATCTCTGGTTCATTTTACTTCCAAAGTTGTGCCCTCCGACGCATGCTACGGCTTAGGATGTACAGTTTAGCGTTTAGGGTTTGTCCAGGTGCGAGGAGGTTCTGCGGGTGGATCCGACCCCGTTCGAGGGTTTCGAGGAGACAATGCAGTTGTTCAAGGACTTAGAAAAGTGTTTGCAGTTAAAAACAGAGTTCGAGGAATTCAGCGCCTCTATGGGACAACAGTTGTTCTGGAAGGCGGACATCCCGCAGATTCAAACCACCGTTCAGGCACGCCAACCCCTAAACCCTAGACGCTAAACCACAAGCCCTGAGGTTTGGGGGGTTTCTGCCCTTTTAGGGTTGAACAAAAGCCACAGAGATGTCCAGGGGGAGCCACAAGCATGTGACGTTTAGGGTTTAGGGTTTGTCAAATTGTTTGTGTCCAGGGTTTTTCCAAGAGCCTGCAAGGTTTGGCAGGTCTTTTGGGGTGTCAGCCACTATACCAAACCCTTCAAATCTCCCTTGCATCTTGCAGAGAATCCCTCGCTGTTGCTAAGGCTCTGAGAAACCCTGCCTTGCGGCAAAGACATTGGAATGCAATTAAGGGTTTAATTGGTGATGAAGTAGATTTAAAGTCAGAGACCCTTCTTCTCAACGACCTCGCCAGCATCAAACGCCTCAAGGAAACACCCGAAATTCTCGTACATTTGTCCTAAACCCTAAACCCTATCAAGAGGCCCACAATAAACACCTTCAAAAATACTCCTAGCTCAAATCGCGCAATGGGAGAACCCCGACACATGTATTTGAATTGCACAGCTGCGGGTATGGTTAATTAGGGTTTGTGGTTTAAGAATAGGGTCTTGTCTGGGTTGGGCTGCAGACGCTATCATCGGATGCTACAGCCGAGGAAACCCTTGAGGGTTTGCTGCACTCATTGAGGCAAACTTGGGATTCTTTGCAGCTGCCGCTAGTTAATAAAAGGGTTTCCAAAGACAATGTCTCTATTCTCGGGTGTCTTGACGATGTCATTGCCACTCTCGATGACTCACTTGTTAGCGTCAACACTATTGCTGGTGCGTATCGGATGTTTAGGGTTTAGGGTTTCGAGGATCCCGTTGGCATTGAAGGGTTTAGGACTGTGAGGGGTTTATGCACTTTGTGGGTGTCGGACTTTACGCACAAGCCTTTGGGTAGACAGTTCAGTGTTCAGGCCTAGGGTTTAGTGCTTTTTCGGTAGCTTTTAGGATTTAGGGTTTGTAGTTGTTTCGACTGTGGGAGTGTTTGCTGTTTGCGTCGTGCTTGTATTTTCCAAGATTTGTGTGTGCTGGGTGTATGTTCGGGTGTAAAGGAATTGGGGTTCAGGGTTTAGGGTGTGCGTACAGCTTCGCCATTTGGCGCATTTATGAGAACGGAGGTGGAAGAGTTGCAGGGCGACTTAGCCCGAGTTCAAGATACACTCGAAGAGTGGCAGGCAGTACAGAGCAGTTGGCTGTCTTTGCATGCAATATTTAGTTCTGCGGATATTCGCAAACAATTGGCATCTGAGGCATCAAAGTTTGCTGCAGCAGATGCGCAAATTAAAACTATTTATCTCGATGTTTTAGAATATAATATCTGCCTCAATGCATGCAACAAAGAAGGAAGATTGGAAACCCTCAAAAAGCTCTCCTCTACTCTCGATGAAGTCAAACGCGGACTCGAAGACTACCTACAGGTGTGTAAAGCCTAAATCTTAAACCCTAAACAGCAAGACGCTCAGATACAACCCCCCAACCACAGCGAGTATCCTGGTGTAGGGTGTAGAGTTTAGGATTTAGGGTTTAGGCTTTGGGGTTTGCCGGTGTTTTTGCAGAGCAAAAGGGAGTTATTCCCGCGCTTCTACTTTTTGTCCAACAAAGAACTTTTGGGTCTTGTCAGCCAAGGCAGACAACTCAAGTCTGTTGAGCCAATCCTGCGGAAGTGCTTTGCAAATCTTTATTCGTTGTGGCAAGAAGGCGATGGGAAGAACCCCGACTTAGCAGGTGGCGGAAGCCCTAGGCCCTAAATCATAAATTCGAGCACGATACTGTCGGGGTGACAGTGCAGCACGCAGCAGTCGTGAAAGAGTGCTGAAGAGCCTACTTCCGTGCATCCATAAATCGCAAAACCCTAAACCCTAAACGGTAAGCCCTAAACTCTGCTTTTAGGAATGATATCCGCGGAGGGAGAGCGCGTGCCATTTTACAAGAGCTTTAAGTTGCGTGGTCCCGTGGAGAAGTGGTTAACTGACTTGGAAATGACAATGAAGAAGACGATCCAAACCCTAATGAAAACAACAAAAGCTCAGGTGTATGGACAGCCACCAAACGAGTGGGTGTTCCAAACCCCAGCGCAAATCTCTGCCTGCCTATCGCAACTCTTTTGGACGATGGATGTCGAAGAAGCGCTCTCAAGTAAACCCTAGAAAGTACTAAACCATAACCACTAAAGGCCTCGAAAATACAAGAGTTTTGGGGGTTTAGTGGTTAGCGTTTTGCTGCTTCCGCTGCCTTTTTAAGCAACGTAGAATCGAGGATTTAGGGTTTAGGGTTGTTGCGTATTCGTGCCTCTTCTTTCTTTTTCTTCTGCCATCTGCTTTGGTTAGTGCGTAGACTTGTAGCTTATATGTTCCTTTATTGGTTCTGCTGCAGCTGGCGGGCAGCAGCTGGAGATGGTGCAGCAGCAGCAGCTTCTGCTGTTGCAGCAGCTGACAGCAACTGTTCATCGCGATTTGTCTCCGCTTCAGCGTTTTGCCGTCTCTGCGTTGGCAATTCAAACCCTCCACAACCGCGATGTGCTCGAAACCCTCATCCAGATAAACCTCACAAACCCTGATGGGTGAGAAACCTCACCACCAACAACTCTAGGGTTTAGGGCTTAGGGCTGAATGCGTGCGCTTTAGGTTTTCGCAGCTCGAGAATTAGAGTTTTGCACGAGCAGCATTCAAGGGTTTAGTGGTTTTGCTTTCGGGTTGAGGGTTAAGGGTTAAGGGTTTAGGCTTTAGCATTTAGGGTGTGCGGATCAGGTTTGACTGGCAGAAGCAGCTGAGACACTACTGGGACGACGAAATTGAATCAATTTCCATTGTGCAGCTAACAGCTGAATTTAGCTACGGAAACGAATATTTAGGGGCCCCACAGCGGCTGGTCATAACTCCTCTTACAGACCGCTGCTGGCTAACCATCACCAGTCCGCAAACCCTAAACAATAAACCCTTTACAGATCATCAGCCGGAACAGAACCCTAAACCCTGATTTCTATGTAAACTAGTTGTCTACGCATGCACGCCTGCACATCTCTATGCGTGTGTCTGTGTCTGTGAATTCGTGTTCTTGTCTGTTTATTCAGCTGCGTTAAAGGAATTATTTTTGAACAGCAGCATAGCAGGGCCTGCAGGGTCAGGAAAAACAGAAACAGTAAAAGAACTGGCTAAAGTGTTAGGGTTTTTGTGTGTCGTTTTGAACTGTTCCGAGGCTGTCGATTTGTACGTATTGGATAAAGTCTTTGCAGGTCAGCAAACCCTATTTTGCATGTTCTCTTTTATATAGTGTTCTTCATCTTTTCGCTTGCTGGTGTTAGTTTTGCGTTTACTTTGTTTGTTGTTGGTTGTTGTTGTTTGCTTATTGTTGCTGCTCCTGCGCTTCTTTCTGCATGCGGTGTTTGACCATCCATCAGCTAGGGTTTAGGGTTTAGCGTTTAGTGCTTAGGCTTTGTGCAGGTGTGCTGGCTAGCGGCGCCTGGGCGTGTTTGGATGAATTCAATCGATTGGACTTGGAGGTTTTATCTGTCGTTGCTCAGCAACTGCTGCGCATGCGCCATCTCCTCATGACTGCAGCCACCACCAATCCCCAAGGCCCTACTACAGACAAGCCCCACGTAAACGCACGCATGCATGAGCCTGGGCACGCATTCATGTATGCACGCGTGCATAAGTGCATGCATGCGTCTGTGTGTGCATGCATGCATGCAAACCCCAACAGTAGGAGGATTTGGAGCTCGAATGGGATGAGGGAAGAGCGAGGGTCTTTACTGCATGAACTTCAGGAGGGTTGCAAGCAACTGCTGCTACTGCTGCTTTTGCTGCTGTTCTTGCTGCTGATGGTGGTGTTACTGCTGCTGTTGTTGTTTGGTTTCAGGACGGGCCGTCTGTATGTGCTAGCTGCGGCATCTTCTCAACCCTTAACCCTAATTATGGAGGAAGAGCAGAACTGCCACAGAATCTGCAGTGTCTCTTCCGCCCCGTTGCGATGGTTGTCCCTGACTTTGAGGCAATCGCTGAAATTACTATCTTTGCTCAAGGGTTTAAACACTCGAAGACCCTAGCAAACAAATTTGTCAAGTTCTTCAAGCTCTGCGCCCAGCAGGCAAACCCTTAACCCTAAATGCAGCACCCTTAATAAACCCTCCCATCCTGATTGCCTCCCCACCATGCACCGCGCTTGTGCCAGTTACGTACAACCACACACCGCTCTACCAATTTCATGTCTAGGGTTTAGGGGCTAGGGTTTAGGGTTTACGGTTTGTGGCAGTGCTGTTCAGCTGTCGCCCCAAATTCACTACGACTTCGGCCTCAGGGCAGCCAAGGCTGCGCTGTTGAGAGCAGGAGAAATCAGGAGAGAACACCCAAACAAATCGGAAGAAGCAGCCCTCGCCCAGGCTATCAGGTGATAATGGAGTAGGGTTTTAGGGTTTAGGGCTTAGGGTTTGCGATTTTGATGTGGGGTCGGTGCGATGAGCACATAAGCGTGTTTTCTGGTCTACTCTGGTTGGATCGTGCAGCTGGCGGTTCTGAATCTCAGCTCTGGGGTCTAGGGTTTATATATTAGGGTTTCGGTTTGGGGTGCTAAGGTCTGGAGTTAAGGTCTTGGGTGTTTTGTGACGAAGAGATTCAAACGAATCCAAGTTTACGGCTGAAGATAAGCCCATCTTCCAAGCTCTTCTTCAGGATTTCTTCCCTCAAGTTCTTGAGGAAGCAGACAAGGAAAATGCTATTGAACAAGAAATTCGGGAAGCCATGAAGTTTCTCGAGTAGGCTTTAGGGTTTAGGGTTTAACGTTTAGGGTAGTGACGTGTGTGGGTTTTATAATTTAGCTCGAACTTCTATGTTCGAACTTCTACTACTCAGCCGACAGTCCCTGAAGTTTGTCCTCATCGTTGCTGTTGTACATCGCCTAGGGTTTAAGATTTAGGGTTTAGGGCTTGATATGCCGTTGTAGAGTCTATTGTTTAGACTGTAGCCTTCTGTTTTATGGACGTTTTCTCGCGTCGGGTGTAGCACGTCGAGTTTTGTACATACGGTTTTATGGTTAAGTGAGATGAAAGGCTTGGCGTTGATTTTGGTTTAGGGTTAAGGGTTATGGATTTAGTGCTTGTGGGTGTGCAGCTTGGTGCCTCACGCGGAAAGTGTTCAATTGGGGGTTTACTTGCGTCAATTGTTGGAGTCGCGCCGAGGGACAATTGTCTTGGGTTCAGCGGGTACAGGGAAGAGTAGCACGATTTCTGCTGCAACACATTCTCTTTCTTTTGCGTGGTCTGCTGCTGCTTCTGCTGCTGAAGATGCCGATACCGACGCAGATGCAACAACAAGCAGCACTTCTGGAGCAACAAATAGCAGCAGCAGCAGCAGTGGTGGTGGCGGCGGCGGCGCAGCAGCAGGAGGAACAGAAGAGGCAGCAGAAGAGGCTGATGAGGAAGCGGCTGGAGAAGACGATTCCGCATCTCGTGACCGCAGCACCAGCAGCAGCAGCAACAGACTGAGCAGCAGAATGAGCAGCAGCAGCAGCATCTGGGGACCTGCTGCTGCTGCAGTGCAATGCCGCACAGTGAATCCTAAGGCAGTAACAACAGCAGAATTATTGGGAGTTTTTAATGAAACAACAAAAGAATGGAGTGACGGAATTTCAAGTTTAATTATTCGTGAATATGCAGAAAATCAATCGAAACCTAAAAAGCAAATCCTTATCTTCGATGGACCCATCGACTCACTTTGGGTTGAATCCCTCAATACTGTACTTGATGACAACCAAATGCTCTGTCTACCCAATGGTAAACCCTAGACCCTAAACCCTAAATAATCGATAGCTAGCAAATGCTCTGTATACCCAACGGTATACCGTAAACCATAAACTGTCAATAACGTATTTTAGGACAGGCAGACGCTCTGTAAGCCCTAGGCCCTAAACAAGCTTCGAATCGTCCTGGTTGATCTCAAAACCACTGCTCCAGCAGTTGCCTGCCCTGCTAAAATCCTTCCCTGTATCTATTAAGGGTTCCAACCTACGGATTAGTGTTTAGGGCTTATGGTTTGTGTTTGACGGTGAAGGATTTTCCTTGCACGTTTAGTGTAGTCTTCCGCCTTGACCAGTTAATGTGTGCGTTGGAATTTAAAATGATGGTTTACGGTTGAGGGTTCCCTAGGCGTTTTAGGGTTTAGGGTTTAAGGTTTAGGGTTTGCGCAGGTGAGAGAATCCGCTTAACTCCTTCGATTCGCCTTCTATTTGAAGTCTCTGATTTAGAGGCTGCATCGCCTGCAACTGTCAGTCGCTGCGGGATGCTTTATGTCTCCTCTCAAGTACTCCACTGGAAGCATATCATGGAAGCATATCTTGCAAGGTCTGTTGCTGTGCTGCTGGTGCTGCTGGTGCTGCTGCTAGAGCTGGTGCGGCTACTGCTACTGCTGCTGCTTCTTTCGCTTTCGTTGCTGTTGCTGTTGCTGTTTTGCTGTCCTTGCGGTTGCTGCCTTTGCATGTGAGGTGAGCTCGCTTTAGAGTTGTTCCAGCCTTCACACGCAAATCATAAACCCTAAACCCTAAATCTTTGGGTGTGCGTATATTGGGGCTGCGGTGCACAGACTGGCGGATTTGGTGCCCCGCGAGTTTATTTGTTCTTTGCGGGGCCTCTTTGAGCTTTCGATTCCTCCTTGTCAAGTCTTCCTTCAATCCGAGAAAGCAAGTGGTGATTCAGATAACAATAACAACAACAATAACAACGGCAACGACGGCAACAACACCAACAGCAGCGGCAGCAGCAGCAGCACCAGCACGCTTAGCGCAGAGGCAATTGTTCAATCAATATTCCGAATGCTCATAGCGCTACTCGAACTGCCTGTACACCCGACGGCTCCCGACCCAAGACAAAAGGGAAACAGGGAACCGACTGACAGCAAAAGTAAACCCTAAACCCTAACAGTACAACAAACCCTAACGATTAGCGGGCGCCTTAAACCATAAACCCTGTCAATAAACCGTGACTCAACCCCCTAACCCTAGTGTTTCGTACGGGCACCCCATAACCAGTGTGCGGTGAACATGGGGTGCGTATGTAGCATTAAGGGAACTAATTAGGGTTTATTGCAAGTGGTTTGAGTTTAGGGTTTGATGTTATGTATTGCGTGAAGGCCGTCGCATGTCTCAGCGCGCGAGCAGCGTGCATGCAGACCCTCCGAGATGTCTGTACACCCCAGAGGAGTTAGAGTTTTTGTTGGCCCCTTGTTTCTTTTTCTGCTTCGTCTGGAGTGTTGGCGGCAGCGGCTGCATGCAAGATGTGTTTTCTTTTTCTCGTTTTTGTGAGGATTTATTTGAAGAGTATGTATCTTTACCTCGGGGAGCAGATGTGCTTGATTTATGCTTAAATATACAGCTGAAAGCAAATGCCTCTCTTACATGCAAGCGCAGCAATTCAGGTGTACCTACACTGGAAGAAGAGCCACTGCCGAGCCTGCCGAGCCCTCGAGAAGAAGGAGCTGGAGGAGACAAACCCCCACCAAAGGAAACCAAAATAAAACTTACAGACCCTCAAGCCTTAGAAAAGGCTAAGAGACATAAAGCCTACTTTATCCCTTGGGAGAAGACGATCCCCGACGATCCCATCGATCTTACTGCAGATTTCCACTCCCTCCTCGTTCCCTCCAAAGAAACCATTCGCATGCGTTCTATGGTAGAACTTCTCATCAAAGGAAAAATACCTATTCTCCTCAGCGGTACCCTTAACCCTAAGCACTAAACAGTAACAGTAGACAACAGACACTAGGCCACCATACCTGCATATCCCACACCGTTCTCTACCGCACACACCCACATGAAGCTTTCCTCTTAACCGCAGGGGCTACAGTGTTGGCAGCAGTACTATGGTTTAGACTGTAAGGTTAAGACGCCGTTGTTGTTGTTCTGTGAGGGTTTAGGACCTAGCGGAGCAGGAAAGACGGCTTTAATGAAACAACTGCTGCAACAAAAGCAGCGCGAAGAGAGGGTTCAAGTTATTTCTTTAGGGTTTTCCTCAAACATAAAACCTGCAACCTTGCAGGCGCTCCTTGAATCCAAACTCGAGACGAAGCGAAAAGCCCTGGTCAAACCCTTTACCATAAGCTCTAAACCCTAAACCCTAGACTCTAGATTCCGAGGCTTCTTCGGTTGGGTAGACTATTTATTGACGGGATGACTCGTAATGAACGTAAATCAGCCAAACCCTCTGGTGCGCCTGCCAAACAACCGTGTATTGTTTCGTGTTTAGGGTTTAGGGTTTACTGTGTGCAGCTAGGACCTCCAGCCAACCACGATTGCATTGTTTGGTTAGATGATTGCAACCTACCTCTTCCTGACAGTTTCGGGTCTCAGCCAACAGCTGAGCTCATCAGGCAAATAGAAGAATTCAAAGTACTTCGTAAACCCTAAGCCCTCAAACCCAACATCGGGGACCTAAACCCTAGAGCCGACCGCTGCATCGGAGGAGGCTGTATCGCTTCGTGCTTCGTGTTGAGGGTTGAAGGCATATGACGTAGGGTGTGAACTTTGTTTCTAGTGTTTGCACGTTTATGGCTTTCAAAGGTTAAGGGTTAGGGCGTAGGGTCTTGCTGATTGTTAAGGCATGTTTTGGGGCCTAGGGTTTAGGGTTTGGGGACTTAAGGTTTAGGTGTGTTCAGGGCTTCTATGACTTGAAACGCATGCACTGGAAAGCGGTTGAGAGGCTCTTCTTTATTCTTTCTGTTGCTGACCCCACAGCTGGTCGTCCTCTTCTCTCTCCTCGGCTGTCTAGACACTTCCAAGGCATTTTAGTTTCTGATATGGATGATTGTTCTACTCAAAAGATCTTCCAGACCATCCTTGAAACCCACTTCGCACACATCGTAAACCCTAAACCCTAGATTGTAAACCCTTGGACACCCACAATGCACCAATTTAACCCTTATTGTTGTTGTCTACATTTTTCAAATAGCCTAAAACCTCAGAAACACTCGTAAATACTCATTAGCTTTCAAACTCCCTCCTTAACCCTCGTAAACTCTCGTCCTCGCACACACAAACAAATGCGAATCATACACGAGGGAAACCCTCAATAGCGAAACTAGTCGGTTATAAACCCTCTGAAGCCTTATGCGTAAACGTCGGAAATCCTCATTATGAGTCTACAGTCATTCAAACCCACTGTATACCATCTAATACTCTCATACACCCACTCAAGGCCCCAAGCCCCTACAGACATACCCGTAAACACTCCTGAGGAGTTCCGGTGGGGGTTTAGGGTGCATAGCCAAAGCGTTTGGGTCTTACGGCCCATGGGATGAGGCTTGGGTTCACGGCGTAGAGCACATTGGTGAGGGTTTAACCTGTAGGCGCTCTTCTAGAATGTGTTGGGTTGAAACTTTAGGGTTTAGGGTTTTCGTGGAATTCCGTGCTCTTCAGGGGGCGAAACAGGAGCTCCGAGTTCAGGCTAAGGCCATCGTTGATGCTAGCATTGGTACGATCCTCAACGCTAAACCGTAAACCCGAAATCCTATTCCTCGAATCCCCCTCAGCGAACAGCTGGAGTTTCCCCTGTCTGAAGGCACATTTCAAGGCGGCTCGCGTTAGGGTTGGCCTTTGGGGTCTAGGGTTTAAAGTTCAGGGTTTAGGGTTTAGGGTTTAGGGTTTGCGAGAGTTGGGCGCACAGAGCTCTATAGACAAGTGAAGATGACTTTGCTGCCAACGCCCTCGCGGCCAACATATTTGTTCAATTTCCGTCACCTTAAGAATCTGTTCCAAGGCCTAATATCTGCAGATGCAGATGCAATTGCCCCAAGAAATGCATTTGTCAGGTGCCTGTTTACTGTTCAGGTTTTAGGGTTTGGTGTTTGCGGTTATGGCTTTATCATTGTTTCTTGCGAGGTGGAACGACCAAGGTGTTGGCGTGTAAGGGGCTTTTGGCGTGTACCTGATTTTACGGTTTAGGCTTTAGGGGTCAGGGATTAGTGTGTAGGTTTTATGGTTTAGTATTTGTGGTTTCAGGCTGTGGATGCACGAGTGCAAGAGGACATTTGGAGACCGTCTGATGAGCCGGGAGGAGGGAGAGTGGTTGGAGGAGTTGTTGAGGGATTTAGCGACGCGGCGGTTGTATTATTCTGCTGCAGCGGCTGCTGCAGCCCAGCAGCAGCAGCAACAGCAACAGAAAAGTGGGAATTACTTGAACTTATGGGGCGATTGCTTCTCCAGGGGGCAGCTGCATTACCGCGAGGCTCCACCTATGGAGCAGCTGCTGCTGCTTCTGCATCAATACAGCGAAGAAGCAGCTAGCATGCTGCAGACAGGCACGGAAGGCGATACAACAGGAGCAGCAGCAAACCCTGTTGTCTTCTTTCCAGAGGCAGCAGAACGCATTGTTGCCCTCTGCCGACACCTCAAATATCCCCAAGGAAATGTCATTCTTCTCGGTGTGGGGGCAACAGGCAAACAAACCACTGCAAGAATTGCTGCATGCATTCGGGGCTATGCTTTAGTATGTTTGCTTATCGATCTTTGCTCATTTTAGCCAAAATAATAATAGGAGTCAACACCAACAGGAATCATAGGATTAACAACAATTGCAGAAGCAACGACAGCAGCAGCAGAAACCGCAACAGCAGCAGGAGTGGCGGCGGCAGCAGCAGCTGCTGCCACTCCTGCTGCTATAGCACACAAAGACAGCCATATACTAGAGCATAGCGACAGATATAAAGAAGGGAAGACACAGAAAAAAGAGACAAATAACAAAAGATAAAAGATGAGAATGAAACAAGCAAAGATTGTATATGCAGCGCCTCATCTGCTGCTACAGCAAATTCGCAGCAGCATTTGCATGCATTTACTGTTGCAGAAAGAATTTGAATGCCATGCCGACGGCAGCAAGGACTCTGCAGGAGACTCTTGGACCGGCTCGCAGCAGCAGCAGCAGAGTACCACAAGCAGCAGCAGCAGTGGCGGTAGTGGCATGGAGGCTGGATCCTCTTCAATAACTGGCAGCAGCAACACTAGCACCACCACCACCAGCACCACCAGCCGCAGCAGCGCAGCACTTAACAAGTTCCGTGAGGACCTTAAAGATGTTCTAATGAGCGCCGGTCTTAGTGGAGGAAAAGAAACAATCTTTTTGGTTAATGACAGCCAAATACTAGATGAGCAAATACTCGAATATGCAGACGCCATTGCCAATACCGGAGAGGTCGGGTGGATCCATAGTTTAGGGTTTAGGGTTACGGGTTTGAGCTTTTGGGCTCAGGGTTTAGGGTTTAGGGTTTAAAGCTTGATTTTGCCTAGGGGCCACTACACAGAAACTGCTATCACAAACCAGTTGTTTGTTTGGGCGATTTAGTGTTTGGAATGTAAACAGTGTTCAGGGGCTAGGGTTTAGGGTTTATGGTTTAGGATGTAGGGTTTGTGTGTAGGTGCATGGTTTGCTGGATTCGGACTCCGTGGAGATGATTGTTTCGGACTTGACCTCTGCTGCTGTGGCTGGTGGTTTGATCAGCAGCAGCGCCACCCCCAGCAGCAGCAGCACTAGCAGCAGCACCAGCACCGAGTTTATATTAAGTTTGTTTAGAGATAATATATTAAAAAGACTACGAATATGCCTTTGTCTGTCTCCTATTGGTAGCAGTCTTCGAGCAAGACTTAGAAGAAATGCAGGACTTAATAAAGCTTTTATATATTTATTTTTCAGTGTATGGGGAGCTTCTGCTTTATCTGATGTTGCTGCTCACCTATTTGCTGCTTCAACGCCGCAGCTGCAACAGCCGCAACTGCAGCAGCTGCAGCAACAGCAACCAGAGGAGCAGCAGGAACAATCACAACAACAACAGCAGCAACAGCAGCAGCAGCGACAGCAACAGCAACAGCAGCACAAGAAAACACTATCCCAACTCTGCGTAGATATCCATCTTAGCGCAGAAGCAGAAGCAAAACACTTTTATGAAAGGGAGAGGAGAATTGTTTATGTCGTCCCGAAAGCATTCCTTGACTTCATCTCTCTCTTCAACATTGTAAACCCTAAACCCTAAACCCTAAACCCTCAACTCTAAACACTATCTACCTAACCCGTACTGAAACCTAAAACGTAAACCCTAAACCTAAACCCTAAAACCTTGGGTTTGTGAGCAGCTGCTGGGCCAACGCCGAAGTGCTTTGAATTCAAAGCTGCAGCTGCTGAGTTCTGGTATTGCTCAATTAGAAGCAGCAGCAGTTCAAGTCAAGCAGCTGCAAGGAGAGCTGCAGCAGCTGAGGCCCGTCCTACAGGAGAAGCATGCAAAGGCAGAAGCCCTCCTCAAGGTAAACGCAAAGTTTAGGGTTTAGGGTTGAGGGTTGAGGCAGGGGCTAGTTGGTTCTAGCGATTGGCGGTTACACCGTTCGGCCTACAGTTTAGTGGTTAGGGTACGGATCCCGCCAGCAAGTCACCAGGGCGGCGACCGGCACCGTATCTGCGGTTACGAGGGTTTAGGGTTCAGGGTTTGAGGTCTAGGATTTGCGTCGCAGCAAGTTGAGGCGGACAAGGCAGTGGCGGAGGCAGAAGAAAAGAATGTTTCTAAGGAAGGAGAAATTGTTGCGCAGCATAGAAGTGCAGCATTGGCGTTGCAGGCAGAGGCTCAACAGGAGTTTGATGAGGCATTGCCTGCCTTAGAAGCAGCTCTTTGTAAACCCTAATAATCCCTAAACACTTGTAAACCCTAAACCCTGGGCAAACAACTCCGGCCAACAAGGCGTTGAAGCTCAAACGGTGGAAGGTGCCGCGGAATCAGGCAGTGCTGCAAGGGTTTGCATTGCCGTGTGGTTTAGGATTTAGGGCCTCGGGATAGGGTTTCTCATGTATAGATGTGGCTTTAAATGGCCTAGAGAGCTCTATCGTTGTTTGCTGTTTGTTTTCCTTTTTGCTCTTTTCTTCTTGGTTACTTTTTCGTTTACGTTTTCAGTGGTTTGTAACGTTTCTTCTTTTAAGGCCTGTTTGCTGTCTTTGGTTATTGCGTGTTTCATCTTCTTCACTTGGGCTCTGTAGACTGTGTGGCTCCCTTTTCGCTCCCCCAACGCTACACCCTAGACCCTAAACTCTAAACCCTTGTTTTTATCCCGCAGCTTCTCTCGATTCCCTGGATAAGCGCGATATTACAGAAATCAAATCCTTCGCGAAACCTCCCCCTCTTGTCATGTTAACAATGGAGGCTGTCTGCACTATATTAGGAGAGAAGACGGAGTGGGAGCAGTGTAGGAAGGTCCTTGCCGATACAGGTTTGTTTTAGCTCTCTTGAGCTTGTGCATTTACCTTTCTTCTGCTGCATTTAGTGGATTCCTTCTATTCCTCCCTTTAGCTCGATTTCCATGCATACATGCATGAATGGTTTTCAATGACCTGGGAGTAGACGGAGGGCTTAGGGTTTAGGGTTTAGAGTTTTTGTGGTTTTAGGGTTTTTGAATCGTCTGACGTCATTTGATAAAGAGCATATATCTCCCACAACTCTCAAAAAGCTCGAAAAGATTCTCCAGCGGTATCATCACTAGACTCTAGAGCTTAAACCCTAAAGCCTAAACCCTAAACTCTAAACTCTAAACTTTGTATGGCAAATGTTTATTCCCCAGGAGTGAGCTGTGGACAATAAGCCCTAGAACCCAAGTGTTCAGTTGTTTTAGGGTTTAGGGTCAAGGGTTTGTGTGTGTTAGGCCGGACTTCACGCCTGAAGTAGTGGGAAAGCAATCTGTGGCCGCCATGTCCCTATGCATGTGGGTATTGGCTATAAACAAATATGCGAAGATTTCAAAAGAAGTTGAGCCGAAAAGAAAGAAAGTTGAAGAGCTTAACGCACGGGTAAGCCCTAAACCCTAAACCCTCAACGCAGCGAAAGGGTAAATACACAATCAACCTTACATCCTGAACCTTAATCCTGAAAGACAATAACCCATGACGTATGGAAATCATAAGCATAGCCAGCTTCCTCGGTTGCTGCAAGTGGGGTCTAAACCCTAAACTCCACTGTCTTTAACTGAAAACCCGTAAACCCTAGAGGATGGTGCTGCGTATTTAGAGTGTATGTACAGCTCGCAGAGGCAGACGAGGCGTTAAAAGAATCACAAAACCGCTGCCGACAGGTGCAAGCAAAGGTGCAGCAAATGGAGCAGGAGTTGCAGCAGCAACTGCGCGAGAAGGAGACACTTGAAAAGGAGACGCTTCTTTGTCAAACAAGACTTAACAGAGCCAACTTCCTTACCCAGGGGCTTACCAAAGAAGCGGTAACAAACCCTAAACCCTAAATGCCAATTCAGACGCCCCACTTTAGAAAACTCAATTCGCCTTCTAGCAGAAACGCTAATTCAACAAGCTTAATGCAAACCCTAAGTGCTAATTTTTGCAACTGTTTGAATCACCCTTCCGATCCTCTAATCTTGCATATGTACCTCTTGCTTTCGTGTTCGGCTATTGCCGCTCTCTGTGGATGCAGTTAAGGGTGTAGGGTGTAGGGTTGGGATTTGTGTGCGTGAAAGGTGCGTTGGCGAGAATCTCTCGCTGCAGCAGCGCAGCATTTGTCTTCTTTAGAAGGAGACAGTCTCCTTGCTGCAGCAAGTTTAATATACTTGGGGCCTTTGATGGAGTTTTATAGGGAAAGGCTGCAGCAGCATTGGCAGCAGCTGCTGCAGCAGCACCAAATTGCATGCTCCCCTGGATTTGACCTACGAGACATTATGTCCAGCCCCGTCGAGATCAACGAGTGGCGCATGCAGGTGAACCACTATTGCAGCAGCACCACCAGTACCAACAGTAGCAGTAAAATTGACAGCCGAGTTTGCAGTTAAGGCTTCAGGGTTTGTTGCAGGGTTTTTGCCTGTAGGGCTGTAGTGTTCGTTGCAGAGTTCTCCTGTAACGGTTTAGGGCTTGTTGGGAGGTTTGCCTTTAAGGGTTGAGGGTTTGTTGCAGGGTTTACCAGGCGATTCGTCCTCTACTTTTGGAGCGCTGGTGATTTTAAGAACAATTGAATTAGGAAGATCTGCGTTAATAATCGATCCCCAGCAGCAAGCAAAAAGTTGGTTAAAAAAGAATCGAAAGAAGAATCAACTTGTTGTTGTAAACCCTACTACCAATAAAATCCAAAATATACTCGCCAATTGCGTCCGCATCGGACAAACCCTTCTCGTAAGAAAACCCTAAACCCTAAAACAAAACCCTAATTCGCAAGTCTCTACAAAACCCAAAGTCCCAAGCAGCCGCTATGCTCCCCAACCACAAGGCGGAAAATACTAAACCCTACACCCTAAGTGCTTAGCAGCTGCATATTGTGCTCTGTGGATGACCCGGCTTTGTCAAGGAGGACTGCAAAGCTTTAGTGCATAAGGTTTGGACTGTCTGTACAGGTGGAGGACATCGAAGAGGATATACCACCTTTCTTCTCCCCTTTGCTGCGGCTGCCGCTGCAGCAGCCGCAGCAAGCCCTCGAAAACCCGCCGAGGGTTTTCCTCGGGGGTATGGACATCCGAGTAGAGAAGAACTTCTCTCTTATCTTCACGACAAAACTGCCAAACCCTCACTACCTTCCAGACATCGCTATGCAGGAAAGAAACCCTAAGCCCTAAGCACTAAACACTAAACGAGGGGATTAAATCTTAACTCTAGCAAACTACAAAGGTTTGGAAACCGTAACTGTCTTCACAAACCCTATACCCTAATCCGCCTAAACCACAAAGACACCTAAACCCTCGTAAGCTATCATCACTGTCGGGTTGGAAAACCCAGAGGAAAACAAGCTCCAATGACTTGCAACAGTGTAGCCATTTGCAAGCGTGTGCGATATATCTGGCTGCTCGGCTGAGGGTTTAGGGTTGAGGTTTTGGTGCGTTGGTTTCAGTTGTCTATCGTGGACTTCTCTGTCACCCGTGAGGGTTTAGAGCAGCAGCTGCTGGTTGAAATTGTTTTAATCGAAAACCCTGAGGCGGAGAGGCAGAAGACTCAAATACAAATACAAAATGCGATTGACCAGAGACAGCTCCAGGAATTGGTAAACCCTAAACCCTAAACCCTAACGCTAAACCTTGGAGCGCAAGCAGAAGCAAACACAGGAGGTAGCATATGTTGGGGGGAATTGTTTGCTTGTGGAAGCTTCTATGCAGTGTAGCCCATAAACTGTAGGAAGCTCTGAAACTTTAAACTCTAAAACCTATAGGGTTTCTGGTTTGTGGGCTTTAGGAGGAGACGATGCTGCGTCTGCTGTCTACATGTGGAGGCAGCATATTAGACGACGCGCAGCTAACAGACACCCTGGAGGAAGCAAGAGAGACAGCAGCGGCAGTAGCAGAGAGACTAAAAGAAGCAGCAATAGTAATGAGTGACTTAGAAGCAATAAGTAAATGTTTTAAACCCGCGGCATCTAGAGGGTCTCTTCTCTTCTTTACAGCCCAGCAGCTCCAAACCCTAAACCCTATGTATACTTGCAGCCTTGAGCTCTTCCTAAAAGCTTTCACAGAAGCTATTAAGGAGCAGCACCAGGAATACCAGCTGCAGCAAGGCCCTGCTGCAGGAGAGGCAGCAGCATCGTCAGACGGCTTAGCAGCAGCAATGCCTGCAACCGACTTGCAACTATCTCCACCAACGGGAGCGACGGAAACCCCAATTGTTACACCAACTGCAGCAGCAGCAGCGGCAACAGCAGCCGCAATAGCAACCAATGAAGATAGGATCCGTGCTCTTGTAGAAGCAGCAAGTTTAGCGGTTTATTCACAAACCCTCACTGGCCTCTTTGAAAAAGACAAATTGCCTTTCGCCTTCGCAGTCGCAGCCGAAGTCCTCAAAAGGGAAAAGTTCCCCGAAGCATCCGAGGTTCCATAAACCCTAAACCCTAAACCCTAAACCGTGATAGTTAGACTCTATATCCTGCATTGTGTTTTGCGTGTGGGCTTCCAAACAAAAGGATGTTTTGGAGTACATCTTCTAGAAGGGGCAGTATGTGCGAAACCGGGTTTAGGGTTTAGGGCTTGTGCGAACTCAGGCGAGTGAGCTGCTGATGGGGGGAATGGCATGGGGGTCGGAAGATTGCAGCAGCAACGAGACGGACGACAGCAGCAGGCCGAATCCTGTGCCAGAGTTGCTGCAGCAGCAGCAATGGCAGCAGCTACTGTCCCTTTCTGCTGCTGTCTCCTCTCTTCAACGTTTCCCCGTCCATATAGTAGCAGAGACAGACAAATGGAGACAATGGCTACAAACCGCCGCTATCCATAAACAAGTCCCTCCCCTCTTTAAAGAAGAAGAAAGAGTGTTTAGGGCATTTGAGACCATGCTTCTACTTTCCATTGTCAAGCAAGAAGCTGTAAACCCTAATTCGCACTCATTAATCCTAATTCACAATCATACACCCTCAGAAACCCTCCGAGGCCCGAATTAACTGACAGGCATTATTTGCATAGCTGCAAACCCTCATACACCCTCAGACGTAATTGATCCCCTAACCGCTAAACCCTCATAAGCACTAAACCCTAATAGACGAAAACAAACCATAATAAACAGTAAAAACCCGTAATAATCATTACTATGCGCTACCAAACCCTAACAAACCCTGGGACCAAGTTGGACAGCAGTCCGACTGTATTCGCCAAACCCTAAACCCTGTAGGGTCTTGTTTGTGTTTCAGGTTGCTGCATTTGCATTAGAAGTGGTTGAGCAAGTGCTTGGCCCATCCTTCTCTGAGTTAAGTTCTCCTTCCTTAGAGCAAGTTGTTAGCTGCAGCGACAGCAGCAACCCGCTGCTTGTGCTGCTCTCGCCAGGAGCAGACCCCACATCTTCCTTCTTTTCTCTTGCTGAGCAGCAAAACCCTAAACCGCGGTTCGATTGCATCTCTCTAGGAAGAGGACAATGGCCTAAGGCATCCAAAGTTCTCGCTAACGCAATTCGGTAACACCCGTAAACCCTAAATCCTGAACCCTGAAGAAATAACCCTAAACCCTAAACCTTAAACCTAAGCAGTTTTGCGGTAAAGGTTAACCTAAACCCTTGTAAACCATTGGGCATGAGTGCAGATTTACAGCCTGTCTGTACAGCTTGTGCATCGGGTGTACGTACACCGACTGAATGTGTGGCCATACTTGTGTGTGCTTGCCTGCATGCATGCATACATGAATGTGTGCATGAATGCGCAGAGAGGGGGGCTGGGTTTTACTGCAGAATTGCCACTTGGCGAAGAGTTGGATGGCGGAGTTACAGAAAGTAATCGAGTGTATAGACAGCTCAAGAGTGCATACAAATGTAATATCCTCTAATTATGAGGGTTTGAATGCGGGCAACAAAGATGTTTTAATTAACCCTAATTTCCGTCTTTTCTTAACTTCCCTTCCTGCCGATTTCTTCCCCTCTTCTATTCTCCAAAAAACCCTCAAATTCGCTCTCGAAAAACCCACAGGACTCCTGTAACCCTCTAAACCCTAAGCACTAAACCCTAAACCACAGACCCTAAACACTGTACCCTACACCACAAACCGTAAAGAACCCCAAACAATGCGAGGACTAGACAATATAAGCTAAACCCTAAACCCTTCAAAACGAATATCCATCGCAAAGGAGTTTATGTGTAAAGGAACGGAAAGATAATCTCTATTAATTTAGTGTTAGTATCTTCTGCAGGCCCTGTCTCCAAGAAGGGTTTAATGAGCTAAAGCAACAACCAATTATAGAAAAAGGAGACAAAGACACACTTCGATGTTGGAGAGTACTCAAACTGTCTCTTTTGCTCTTCCATGCCATTGCACAGGTAGGGTTTAGGGTTTAAGGTGTACGGTGAGTTGCATGTTCAAGCTTCAGGGAAAGTGCAACTTCTCTTAGATATATTTATTGTATGTTGTTTTATTGTTTTTTGTTTATTGTTTAGGGCTTAGGGATTATTGTTTATTGTTGGTTTAGGGTTTAGGGCTTAGGGTTTGTGTGTGTCATTTAATAGGAGAGGAGTAGTTTCGGTTCCTTGGGATGGAACGAATCTTACAGATTCGGTGCAGCCGATTTAGGTGCATCATTAACTTTATTGCGGTGTATATGGACCTTCGGAGAAACTGTAGGAGGAGAAACGCCTTCGTCTGCCTCTTCTACTTCTTTAGACCCTCTTCGTCGTCTTGTTTGCGAAGTTACTTATGGTGGTCGATTAACCACTAATTGGGACTCCCGCTGTCTTCGATGTCTAGCAGAAAATATCCTTAAGGATAATATTTTACAAGACCCACAAGCACTCGCAGACAAAGGTATGCAAACTCTAAACCCTAAACCCTAAACCCTAGAAGATAAAAGATATGGAGGGACACGGTGTATGTATGTATACGGTATAGCGTTCTAGGGTTTAGGGTTTAGGTAAGAGGATATAGGGTGTAGGCTTTAGGGTGCAGGGTTTAGGGTTTAGGGTTTAGGGTTTGTGTGTAGGTGTGGGGCCGATTGGGCTGGAGGAGGATTTGGACGTCGCCTTTGCTATGCTGCAGTCGCAAGCAGCAGCATCCCCTCAACTACTGGGGCTGCATGCATCTGCGGCTGTGCTGCTAGAAAGAGACAGGGGGAGACAGCTGCTGCAGCAGCTACACAGCCTGCAGCCTCTGTACGCATTTGTTGCTCCCCTATCTTCCCGTTATATCTGTATGCTTTTTCTTCTTATCTGCCTCATCTTCTTTTACTGCTTTCCTTTTCTTCTATTTGTCTCCCTTTTGGTGTCTCCTAGGATATGTTGGGAGACTCAAATAAGCCATATAACCGGGACACTGCTGCCTTAGGGTTTAGGGCTTAGGGTTTATGGCGCTTACGGTTAGGGGTGTAGGGTGTAGGGTTTAGGTTTTAGGGTTTGTGTTGCAGGGAAGCAGCAGCAGCAGGAGGGTCTGCCGCAGAGCAGCTACTGCTCTCAAGAGTTGAGCAGATACAGCAGCGAATTGGCAGCTGCCTGAATTTGCTGCTGGAGCCAAAGACAGTAGATGTGTCTAAAGCTGTTGCTGCAGCAAAAGAAGCAGCAGCAGCAGCAGCATCAGCAGCAGCATCAGGAGCAACCGGAACAGCAGAGACAACAACAGCAGCAGAAAATGACGCAGATGCACACAAACACCCACAAGATGCGCTCGGTACAACGTTCTGCTCATAGCAACAAACCCAAAACCCCAAACCCTAATCACTAAACCCTAAACCCCAGGGAAGGTGGCAACTGGAGACACAGAAACTCAAAACGGCAGCACAATGCATCACCTAAACCCTAGACCCTAAACGCTAATCATCATGCATAGCATTCCCGGCACATCTGTAAAGAAGTGTCTTGGGCACGTCCCTGCCGGCTGAAGGGTTTGGAGCTTAGGGTTTAGGGTTTGCGGATGGTGTATGCAGGTGTTTTCTTTGTACAAGAGGCGTCTCGCTTCTCGTGTTTGTTACAAACCATCGCACAAACCCTTGAGCAGCTGCGTCTTGCAATTAAGGGTTTAGTTGCCTCTTCTCCTGAGACAGAAGCTCTATTTGACGCCATCAATAAGAACCAGGTAAACCCTAAACCCTAAAAACAATAATAACCTAAATTCGTTCAAATTAATCTTATTTTTCCTTTTTACTAACTTAAATTATTCTTATTTCTTATTTAAATTAACTTAATTAATATAATTAACTAATTTAATTAATTTAATTTATGTTTATTTATTTTTTTTGTGTAGGTCCCTCAAAGTTGGGCAATGGTATCCTATCCTTCTTTACGTCCATTAGGTTCTTGGTTAAAGAATTTAGAGCTAAGAGTTTATTTGCAGTGTATGTACAGCTCATCAATTCCTTTTTCTTTTTCTCTTCCTCATTTATTTTATCCTTATGGTATATTTGCTGCTTCCCTACAAAGAGCAGCAAGAATACTTGGTATGTCTGTTGAGCTCCTTCTTATCGCCTTTAAACCCCAAGCAACCGCAGACCCACAGTAAGGTTTTAATACTAAACCCTAAACACTAAACACTAACTACTATATATATATATATATATATA